ATATATATATTCGTTGGCCCATGAGCATTTAATAAAACCTATTAAATTATACCTATGTGGCAATACAATTTTTTTCCTCCAAAAATCGTTATTTTTTATTTATTTGACCTCTTATTTAATTATTAGATAATCAATATACTAATCACTTCAAAATTAAAAAAAATCATTTTAAATTTTTTATTTACTTACAACTGACTATATAATGTGTTGACTATTTAACGTGATTATATGTTATTGTTGTGATTACATTTAAATTAACTTCGTTTGGAAAGTAAAAAACGTATTTAAAATTACTAAATAAATAATAAATTATTAATACATACCAAAATATACATTACATCCAATATAATAAACGCAATTTAAAAAAATAAATATTTCAATTCCTTTAATTGTAAATTTGGCAAAAATCATTAATCGTTATATGCATACAAATGACTCACACAGTTTTGCTATGGAGCTATCAGATGGCTTGGCTTATGGAGCCATCCATAGTTATTCACAAATAGGATATTGACACGTGTTCTACAATAAATGCACTTTGGACAAGTGTCAATACACTAAGTCATGGATGACTCCATAAGAAAACCATCCGATGGCTCCTTAGAATTTCTGATGACTCACAATACTTTATTTCTGTGCAAATGCACATGTCGAATACTAGTAAAGATGAATGGGACCGATGCAGTGATGACTCTTTTTCCTTTTTTTTTTTTTTTTTTTTGGTAGTTAAAATATTAATACGGGTATAATTGTATTTTTAATCCCTAAATATTCAGAAACTTTAGCCGTTAGTCTGGCAATGACCAAAATTGAAAATTTAAGTCGTTAAAAACGAATGCTATTATTATTAATATTAGGAATTAGGAATTAGGAATGTTAATTCAAATAGGAAAAGGAAAAGGAAAAGGAATAGGAATGCAATCTCAAGCCAGTCTAGTCTATATATATATATATCTCATCGGACTCTTACACTTTATCCGTATGGTGCATGTTAAAAAACTGATGTGGCATATTATTATTGGTTTTTTAACTTTACGTTGGTTTTCTTGGCTCTTTCTCATAGCACAAGAAACAACAGAAAGATAAGATCATCATCGGCAGGGCAGCATGAGTCACAAAGCAAAATCATCTGATTCGTGAGTATATCCGAACTAAACTAAAGCTTATTTTCTCTATTCCTTGCTTTTTCTTACGTTATTATGTATTTTTCTTCTCTATCTATCTCGCAGCAAAGGTGGAAAGAAGGACTTCTCGACAGCGATCCTGGAGAGGAAAAAGGCTGCTAATCGCCTCATTATCGATGATGCAGTTTACGATGACAACTCCGCTGTCTCCCTCCATCCCGCCACCATGGAAATGCTCCACCTTTTCCGTGGCGACACTATCTTGATCAAGGGGAACAAAAGAAAGGATACAGTATGCATTGCCTTTGCTGATGAGACTTTGGAAGAGTCAAAGATTCGAATGAATAAGGTCGTCCGAGCGAACCTAAGGGTTCGTCTTGGTGATGTTGTATCCGTACACCAGTGCCCCGATGTCAAATTCGGAACCCGTGTTCACATATTACCCCTGGATGACACGATCCAAGGACTCACCGGGAATCTCTTTGATGCATACTTGAAACGTAAGTCCTCCTTACGTATTATTATTTTCTTAGCTCCTACAAATTAAGCAATCTTTACTAGTTGTAAGAGTTTTTTTCTTATATATATTTCCTGTGCAGCTTACTTCCTGGAAGCATACCGCCCAGTTAGGAAAGGCGACCATTTTCTTGTGAGAGGCAGCATGAGAAGTGTAGAGTTTAAGGTCATCGAGACTGACCCTGGCGAATACTGTGTTGTAGCTCCCGATACTGAGATCTTTTGTGAGGGTGATCCCGTGAGGAGAGAGGACGAGGATAGGCTGGATGAGGTCGGGTATGATGATGTGGGCGGGGTCAGGAAGCAGATGGCCCAGATTCGGGAACTGGTCGAGCTGCCCCTGAGGCACCCCCAACTTTTCAAGTCCATAGGCGTGAAACCACCCAAGGGAATCTTGCTTTACGGGCCCCCTGGTACTGGAAAGACGTTGATCGCGAGGGCCGTTGCAAACGAGACGGGTGCCTTTTTCTTTTTGATCAACGGTCCTGAAATCATGTCCAAGTTGGCTGGGGAGAGTGAGAGCAATCTAAGAAAGGCGTTCGAGGAGGCAGAAAAGAATGCCCCGTCCATCATTTTCATTGATGAGATTGATTCTATTGCTCCCAACAGAGAAAAAACTCAGGGGGAGGTTGAGAGGAGGATTGTTTCTCAGCTGCTGACGCTCATGGATGGGCTGAAATCTCGGGCCCACGTCATTGTTATGGGGGCGACCAACCGTCCCAACAGCATCGACCCTGCCCTGAGAAGGTTTGGTAGGTTTGACCGGGAAATCGACATTGGTGTTCCTGATGAAGTCGGCCGCCTCGAGGTTCTACGTATTCATTCCAAGAACATGAAGCTTTCTGATGATGTAAGGCCCTGTAAATCTCATCTCATCAGGGGTTACTTTTCTTTTTCTTTTTCTTTTTTTTTTTTTCTTGCTGCTCTCAATGAGTTTAATTTCGTTTGATCAAATTTTTGTGATAATATTACAACAGGTTGACTTAGAGATAATAGCAAAAGACACCCACGGTTATGTCGGTGCTGATCTTGCGGCCCTTTGCACTGAAGCGGCCCTTCAGTGTATTAGAGAGAAAATGGATGTCATTGATTTGGAAGATGACTCAATTGATGCTGAGATACTAAATTCCATGGCTGTAACAAACGAGCACTTCCACACTGCTCTTGGTACGAGCAATCCTTCTGCTTTGAGGGAGACAGTAAGTAGCGCTTTATTTCATTATTAATTGATTTTTGTTACCTACTTTTTACATTTGAAATTTGCATAAAAAATATGTGCAAATAGACAAATCCTTTAAACAATCATTCTTCCGCTGTCCTTTATTAATTCTCATCTTGTGAACAGGTTGTCGAAGTGCCTAACGTGATCTGGGAAGATGTTGGAGGACTTGAAAATGTCAAAAGGGAGCTGCAGGAGGTAATAAGGCTGCTGGTGGTTCGGCTAGCTTACTTGCGATGCACTGTTTGTTTAATTTGGTTACTGATAACTACTTTACTGTTTTGTAGACCGTTCAATATCCAGTGGAGCACCCAGAGAAGTTTGAGAAATTCGGCATGTCACCTTCGAAGGGTGTTCTTTTCTATGGACCTCCTGGATGTGGTAAAACTCTGCTGGCCAAGGCAATTGCTAATGAATGCCAAGCCAACTTCATCAGTGTTAAAGGACCTGAATTGCTCACCATGTGGTTTGGAGAGAGTGAAGCTAATGTTCGTGAAATATTCGACAAGGCCAGACAGTCTGCTCCTTGTGTGCTCTTCTTTGATGAGCTTGACTCCATTGCTGTACAGAGGGGAAGTAGTGTTGGAGATGGCGGGGGTGCAGCCGACCGAGTTCTGAACCAACTCTTGACCGAAATGGACGGCATGAATCCCAAAAAGACCGTTTTCATAATCGGTGCCACTAACAGGCCGGACGTTATTGATGCGGCCCTTCTACGCCCGGGCCGTCTGGATCAGTTAATATATATTCCTTTGCCTGATGAAGATTCACGCCATCAAATTTTCAAGGCCTGCCTCAGAAAGTCACCACTTTCCAAAGATATCGACCTGCGAGCTCTTGCCAAGTACACTCAAGGATTTAGTGGTGCAGATATTACTGAGATTTGTCAGAGGGCTTGCAAGTATGCCATAAGAGAGACCATTGAGAAGGTACGTTTTCTGGAATGTCATCATACTTATTGCATTTTGTTTAGACATGATATTATTTATATTTTGTATTTTATGTCTATAATTAATTTGTTTTGCTGCATGTGGTAATTTGGTTATGAACTCGATTTTCCTCTTTCTCAGGACATAGAACGAGAGAAGAGAAAAAGAGAAAGCCCCGACACGATGGATGAAGACATCGATGATGAGGTCTCGGAGATGAAGCCATCCCATTTTGAGGAGTCTATGAAGTTTGCCCGTAGGAGTGTGAGTAATGCTGACGTACGCAAGTACCACGCCTTTGGCCAGACCTTGCACCAGTCCCGGGGGTTCGGGAACGAGTTCCATTTTGCCGATTCGGCTGGTGGGCCATCTTCTGGCCCCAACCCATTTGCGGCTTCTGCCGGTGGAGCCGATGTGGATGATTTATATTAACTAAAGATGTTTGGGGCCCTTTGAAAAAAGAGTAATGGGCTCGAGGTTCTCCTGATGTTATCTAGTCTTGAGCTGGTAATATATTAGTTGAATCTGCTGACTGAGTTGCTATCTAATTGAGGATGTTTCTGATCATGAATGTGCTGCAAAATGGCTCTCTGTTTTATGTTTATTTATATAAAGTTCTTTATTTTCTTTCTGGATGTATTTGCAGTTGAGTTTCTCATGAAAAACTATCAATGTCTTTGAATTTCCAAGAAACCCTTCTATAATCATGAAATGTTTTCTAATTTTCATCTCATGGTTTTATAGATTAAATTTATCACACTATGCAATAAAATATATTTCCAATAATTTCATTAGGGAAAGAAATAAAATAAAACAAATGATAAAAAAAAAATCCTCTTTTAGATTTTGTATATCTACTACATCAGCTAATAAATATTTTTTTTTTTCTTTTATGAAGAAAAATTTGTAGCTTAAACTATTAAGATAATTTGTTGACTAATTATAAATACATAATTTCACACAATTGTATATGTCACATTTGAAAAATATGTACCATTAATTCAATGCCACTAAAAGAAATATGTGTTTTATCAACAGTATAATTCGTTGATAATCAAGTTCCCCGACGGAATTTCAACGGATTACTAACGAATTTTTTTGTTGCTATATGGCTTGATGCTAATTACTGCCAACGAAAAATATAATTCGTTGAGAAAAACTGCAATAGCTTACCAACGAATTTGAAACGAAAATCCTCTATATTGTCAAGAGATTCGTAACGAAAAATGTAGTTGTTTAATAATTTCGTTGACAAATTTGTTACAAAAAGCGAACAGGTTATTTACAGATTACCAACCGATATTTTAACAATGAAATCACCAACATATATTTTAGTTATGAATTACCAACAGATTACCAATGGCTTTACAAATTTATGAACAGATTACCAACTGATATTTAACAACGAAATACCAACATCTATCTTAGCAATGAATTACCAATGGATATTTCCCAACTGATATTTCAGAAATGGATTACCAATAGATATTTCAGCAACAGATCTATAACGGGCAACGGATTGGCTCGGCTCACCTTGGCCACAACCCACATGACCCACCTTGAACCACATGGCCACCCACAAATATATAATCCTTACTAAATTCTCCCAACATTAGAACTTGAACTCAAGACCTTATGTATGTTAAAGTCAGTTACATCACCACTATGTTATATGAATGTATGAGACATGATTCTAGAAAATCTATATTTATTTATTGTTACATATTATATAGATATATATTTATATTGAAATAGTTAATAAAAAATAGTTATATATATATATATTGAAAAAGTATTTATTAACTATATATATATACTATATTCTATATTAAATTTAAAATAAATCCATACAACTTAAGATCTAACCGTTCAATTATATTTGGTATTTTTTTTTATATATCTAATCTATCAAAACAGTGACTATAAATAATTATCTATAAATTTTATAATAGTATTAAATAAATATCATTGTTAACTATTAAAATCCGATGAAACAAAAATAAATAAATTTAAACACTGTCAATTATGAAATTGTGAGAAAAATGTCATCCACTTAAAAAATATTATCATAAAATATTCAGTTTATTGATAATAATGAATAATGTCATAAAAAGAATATTATTCATTGATAAAATTAAATTATCATTATTCCATAGTAAATTGTTCTTAGGAACACACAAAATTATCATAAAAATGTGATTGAGTGACAAAAACTAATTATGTCAATTTTTTTATTTTTTTTGTGAAAAAAATAAGTTTTTTTAGTTAACGGTTGGTAACACAAACTCCTCGACCGGCTGGAACTTGAGTAATCGCCTTCCTTCTCGCCGGTTGAACGTCGTGCACCTACAAAGAACTCCCACACCGGAGGGGTTTTCCGGTGAAGAGCCTCCGAAGCTTAAGTCAGTGTGTATTCAATCAATTCTCAAGAGTGAGTAGTAGAATGATCGTGTGTGAAGAAGAAAGGCTCACCCCCTTTATATAGGGGTGAGATACCTGACCTAGGGCTGCCCGGATTTGATGAGCTGTCTGCCCTAACTGCCCGTCCGTACACACCAAACGCGTGTGTCAGAGGTAACCGTCGCCACTATCGCCTGCACCAATCCTCTTTGGACGCGTGTCCTCCTGCACATGGGGTATGCTGTCAGAGGTGTTCGCTATCCACCACTGCCTTCTCGACACGTGTCCCCCTGCACATGGGGTAAATATTCCCTTGGAATTCTGTCAGAGGCTTCCTTCACGCGCCTATGACTAGGCCGAACAGCGTGGTGTTGAGTCCTCGAGGTAATCGACCTGTCGAGGTCGAATAGGTTGCTCGATCGTGTATCTGGTCGAAGGATAGTTTGGTCGACAGCCTTGCTTGGTCGACTAGTTGACTGCTCGATTTCTTTAGCTTCCTCATAGTACGACCTCCTCGACCGGTCAACAGACCGGTTCAACCTTGTGGGTATAATATCCCATATCATCTAGTCCCCCCCCCCACTCTGGTCGAGTCTGAATGATTCGATCTAAGAGTGAATTAGCATTTATCGTCCTTCTGGATGGTTCGTCGTTAAATATCGACCAGCTGGTAAGCTTCCCGCTCACTTTTTCAAATAATTCCCCATTAATCACTAGAGATAAAGTCATTTGCTTTAAGTCCTCTCTGTCGCATCCGTTTTCTGCCACGCGTCACGTCTGTCACATGTGTCAGGCGCTTTAATTATTGCGCCTCCTCGCCTAACGCGTCCGTTTTGAGCTCCGTATAAATTAATACTCCCCATCGTTGGATCTACCTTTAATCTGACGGCCCTTATCTTTCCACCCTTCAATCACCAAAGTATAAATTCCATACTTAGCGTTTTTTTTAGCTTTTTCCACCCTTTCAATTTTCGAATTACTCTGCGCCCAGAATTCTCTTCTGCAAAAACTCTTATTTTCTCGACGGTTTCTCCTGCGCCCCTTCAAACTTCCATCAATTATCCATCCACGGTTATGAGTAAGTTTCTTTACACTTGAATTTATATTCTTTGTAGTTCTATTTTGTATATTCTTGGATTTTCAATATTGGGTGTTCTCGATCTGCCTGCTGAATTGCTCCAAATTGGCTTGTCTTCTGTTGAATTTGCGCTTGGGATACTCTTGTTTGTCTATTGAATGTTGAGGATTTTGTCTCTCCTTTGAAAATTTTTGAAATTTCCGCCCCTTTACTTTCCTAATTCTCCTCCTGGTTTTGGGTTGCTCTCCCGTAAAACCCTAATCTTTCTTCTCCCCTCTTTCTTCCTTGCGACAGCTTCTTTTTTATATTTGTTCTCTTTGTTTATGTTTTGATTTTCTTTTCAGACTCTGAGACCTCCTCCGATTCAGTTGAAATACTACCCTCTGCACTCGAAGCTGTCCCCCTCTCTATCTTTCGTCTCAGCGATACAGTTCCTACTCGCGTTTTTACGGCTCGGACTTCTTCCCCTAATTCCGGAGACACCATGGATAATATCCCTCTTCGCCGTCGTCAACCTACCATTGGTGAATTAGATGAATCTGAGGAGAATGAGGTTGTTTCTCCTGCTTCCCCTGCTGTTCCTCCTTCCTCACCCCCCCTGTTACTTTTGTCTCTCCTCCTAAAAAGAAATCGAGAAGAGCAGCTTCTACACCCTCCTCCTTGTCTCTTTCTAGTCGTTGGGTAAGCCCCTCGACCATTGGTCGACCCATTGGTTGGACCTTCTATATCCCAGCTCAATCTGACACGTATGACCACCCACCAGAAAATTTTCATACTTTCTTCGAAATCCAATTTAAACTTGGTTTGCGTTTTCCCCTGAACCCCGAGCTACTTCAGATTTGTGAGTGGTTTGGGCTCCCTTTACATCAACTTCCTCCCAATGCCATCCGCTTCATGGTTACTTTCATTATCCTCTGCCATGTCCGTCTTGGTCGATTCGATCTTGCCTTCTTCCACTACTGCTACGTCCCTTCCAAACAAGCCCGAGGGCTCTACCTAAAGAGTCGCAATGGCGCTCATTTTATCAACGACGTTCTCTCCAACCTGCCCAAGTGGATCGACAGGTTTATTTTCGTTCAACCTATGTACCGTTCCCCTGGCCTTCCATCCCTTGGGTGAAGGAGGTTCCTCAGGAAGTTTCCGCCCCTCCTTCGAACCCCCTTTTCGAGCAACGGGTCCATACTTGGAATTCTAAGACCGTTGCGTCGGAAACGCTCCTCAGAGACGAGAACCTTCTCCACCATTGTGGTCTTCTCACCCACAACACTTGTCCTCCTCCTACCAACGAGATCATCGATCTCATTCGACTTGAAGAGGATCCAGGTAGTAATCGAGCAGATTAGCTGAATGTTCGTGCGTTTTCTCATTTTTATTCCGAGTGATTGTTACTGACCTTGAATATGACCGATATTGTGATTTTTTCGCAGAGGTGCCCAGTTTCAACATCCCTCCGAGGAAAACTCCTCTGAAAAAGAAATCGGGGGCTGTCGCTGGGTCGAGCGGTGACAAGGCCGATGGATCGGTTAGCTCTGGTGGGTCTCGACCAGAGCCTCCACAGCGATCGCCACCACGGCAGACTCCGCCGCCTCCTCCACCACCGCCCAAGGAGACGCAACAGCGACCTGAGAATCAGCCTCCACAGCCGCAACAACAACAACAACATGAGAAGCAGCCCCCTCAGCCGCCGAAGCAGCCGGGGCAAACTTCCCAGAACCCTCAACCAAAATCCATTTCCTCTTCAGCCACCAAGTCTTCGACCTCCTCCAAGGTCGATGATCGTCAGAAGGTTGCCGACCGTCAACACAAACCTGGCGACCGCCAGAAGTCCACCGATCGTCACCACCAGGTCGATGATCGTTCAGAGAGAACTGACGACCGTCAAAAGATCGACAGCCGCCAGAAAATCGATCATCGGGCTCCCCCTCCCAAAGACTCTGCTTCTTCCAAAACCATG